AATCTGGATTAAGCTCGATTGCCTCCCGTATGGGACTCCAGTGTTATGAAGGATCTTCCGAAATCTCAACTATAGCTGGATTGCCTCCCGTATGGGACTCCAGTACCTTCCGGCTCTGCCGGCTAACTAACACCAAACCTCTTCAGTTTTACTTGGAAGTGTGTATGACTAATATGAGGTAACAGATGACATTTAGTGACACATTAAATGAGACAGGTCTTATTTATCATTAGCAAAGGTTCTTAATTTATGCCTTTGGTTAGCGGTTGTTTTGTATTTATATTTGGGTGGTAAGAGCAACGATCGTGGGTTTCTCTGCCATGCTCTTTCCCCACAGGAGCTCTAGGTGAGCCTGGCACTCTCATTTTATGTTAAATGGTTGTTAATGTTTTTGTTGTTCTTTCTATTTGTCACATGTTTAATTTGAATTGTATGTAAATAAAGGTTAGGTGTATTTACTCTGCTTTTGTTTTATATAATTAAACCATACATCCCCTCTACAAAGTTAGTAGCCAGCGCCTTCCGGTCAATTAAAAAAATAGATGCACACAACGTAGGTAGTCCTTATGACGATCACATATTTTTGGCCACAACTACGTTTACTTATTTTTTGTCGAACCTGGGGTTGTTATACTACAGCGTTAAAATTTATGTCCAGTTATCTAGAGAGCAGAAAGAGAGTCAGTTTCGGTAATTCTTTTTCAGATTACGTTATATTAAATAGAGGTGTGCTCCAAGGAAGTATTTTGGGGCCTCTGCTTTTTGCTTTATAAAGGGTGATCCATTAACGATATCGAGCGGCTGTATATAGGAAACTGGACATGCTACGATTATGGGGTAAAAAATCTATTAACAAATATAGCCAAAAGAAATTGATTTAAAATATTTTCAAATTTGTAACTACACCGCTAGGGAGCGCAACTACTATAGTGTTACAGAGAATTGTCGGTTTTTCGAAATTTCGCCTAAAATAATATAATATATACAGCGTGTCCCACTAGTGCGGGAAAATCCAATATCTATGTTAAAATGAGGAATATATGGATTTTTCTTTTTACTGTGTTGCCACATTTCTTGGAATGTACAAATTAAAAATATATTCCTGGACAGACACCAACTTTGGTTTTTTAAATGGAAACACATTTTTTATATTTTTTCCGATTCTACATAAAAAATAATGGGTACTTTGTGTAGAATAGTTCTAGTCAAATATTCACAGTTTTTGAGATATCTCGCATGAAAGGTATTTCTAGTCGATATTGGTTGCTTACATTTTCTGATACTGACAGATTATACTAATAGCTACTAAACCCATTTTTTATCAGATGTTTAGTAAGGATGACTCTTCCGAATCATGCTCCAAAAACTGGCCTGCGTTATACAGGGTGACCAAAATATCATGTCAAAATTGCCAATTGAAAAATTGAAAAATCTCGATTTTTTTAAATGCAACGCCCTGTATATTTTCATACCATGAGATGCAGAATTAAATTCTCTACAACTTTGCTATACCTGCTCCTATACCAAAATTCATTAGTTTTTCATGAAATCTCATTTCTATGAAAAAATGCGAAGTTTACAAATAGCTTATATGTAAAATAACGTAGTAGGCTCCTGTCAAAGGATAATCTGGAAAATTTTCGATTCACATAAGGTTTAATAGAAAAGCGACAGTAATAATTGTGAAATGAATTACTCTAAAGAAGAATTAGTAAATAAATAATAGAATAATTAGTAAAACTCATGGTAACTGTTTATTGGCAAGTCGTATTTACCAAGCTAATAATCCAGATTTACAAAGATATCCTCGTACAAAGTGTTTTGTAAAACTGAAGGAGAGGTTTGAAAGAACAACAAATGCAAATTATGAGAAGACAACAAGAACACACGCATGCAGTATCCAAAACAGTAAATTAACATCGTGCATTTCTAACAAAAGTAATAAAGACCTAGTTAAATTAGTAATTAACAGGTAACCGCTCAAAATGTCTGCCATTTTTCTCTAGACATTGAGCAATTCTACGACGAAAATTGCTTGACACATTTCGCAGCATTTCCGGAGTTAGGGTCAAAAAAGCATTTCTTATCTTTGCCCGTAAATCTTCTACATCTGTCGGAGGAGTTTCATACACCCTGTCTTTTATATAGCCCCATAAAAAAAATCAAGACAAGACAGGTCTGGGGATCGGGGAGGCCATGGAATTGGCTACCTATCCACTTATCTGGATACAAATCATTTAAGTATTCTCTAACCTGAAACAGTTTTTCTATGAATTTACATAACTTACATAATGAGAAAACTTACCGCCAGTGTGGAATGTGCAGGGGCACCATCATGTTGGAACCACTGACTGTTTAAGTCATCCGGAGGAATATGTCCCTGCAATTGGAGCAAGTCGTTTTGTAAAAATTGCAAATACCCATTACCAGTTAAGTTTCCTTCAAGAAAATGTGGTCCAATGACATATTCTCCGCATATTCCCGCCCAAACGTTGACTTTAAAGCGGTGTTGATGATCGTCTTGTCTTATTAATCTGGGATTATGATCGGCGTAATGGTGATAATTATGTCGACTCTCTCGACCAGTATTGGCAAAGGATGATTCGTCAGTAAATAACACCTTTGAAAAAAAAAATTCATCTTGTAGCTTTATAGTTGCCCACTCACAAAACTGTACTCGCTTCTGAAAATCTTGCTGTGTTAAGAATTGGTGATGCTCAGAATGATAGGGGTGGAAGTTGTTTTTCTTTAACGTTCTATTAACCACACTTTTGGAAATACTAATTTCATCACTAATTTCTCTGACACTTGTAGATGGATTTTGGACTGCACATTCCAAAATGTCAATTTGACTATCCTGATTACCACATGCGTGTGTTCTTGTTGTCTTCTCATAATTTGCATTTGCCGTTCTTTCAAACCTCTCCTTCAGTTTTACAAAACACTTTGTACGAGGATATCTTTGTAAATCTGGATTATTAGTTTGGTAAATACGACTTGCCAATAAACAGTTACCATGAGTTTTACTAATTATTCTATTATTTATTTACTAACTCTTCTTTAGAGTAATTCATTTCACAATTATTACTGTCGCTTTCCTATTAAACCTTATGTGAATCGAAAATTATCCAGATTATTTCATGAAAAACTAATGAATTTTGGTATAGGAGCAGGTATAGCAAAGTTGTAGAGAATTTAATTCTGCATCTCATGGTATGAAAATATACAGGGCGTTGCATTTAAAAAAAATGGAGATTTTAAAATTTTTCAATTGGCAATTTTGACATGATATTTTGGCCACCTGTATAACGCAGGTCAGTTTTTGGAGCATGATTCGGAAGAGTCATCCTTACTAAACATCTGATAAAACATGGGCTTAGTAGCTATTAGTATAACCTGTCAGTATCAAAAAATGTAAGCAACCAATATCGACTAGAAAAACCTTTCAAGCGAGATATCTCAAAAACTGTGAATATTTGAATAGAACTTGTGACGTAAACCTTAAAAGGAATGATTTTAATAATATGGTTTACGACAATGTTGCACGACAGCTCTGTTGTTTCGGGGCAATGGGCGTGGATCTAAGAAAAAAATATATATATTGACAGATTGTCTTATCATATGCAAGTCTGTTAGATGTTATTATGTAATTTGCAAGTTAAGAATTGGGCGCCAGTCAACAACTAGTATTGACAAGGGAAAAGGGAACAAAAGCACAGAACGTACAAAATCAAAAAAAAATTGTGAAAGAATATAGTATTTAATAAAACATTGTAGTGTATATAGAAATGTATATAGCAAGAAAAGGTAAGTATGTATGTAACAATTTCGCCAACGTATAAATTATCACAAACAAAACTACAAAAAATACGAACGGCAAGTGCTATGGTGCTTCTGCATTAAAGTAAATTCTTATACCTAATAATAATCTAATATTTTAAACATTACCTGCTTAATATGTAGAATATTAATTGACCCAAGTAAAAATTACAAAAAAATAACTAGATACAGGGAAAAATGATTATCTAAATGTTAATATGGTATTTGCATACGTTAAAGGTAAGTAAATGAAGATATGCTAGTATTACTGTAATGAAATTTGCTACTGATAATTTGTTCTAGGTTTACGAAAACAAAAATGTAAAATTAAATGGTAGGCAATCAATATCGATAGATGAATATCTATCGATGTCCTCGAGACAGCTGTCTTGAAGATACATGAAAATTTATAAACAATACAGGTCTAATAAACGATATAGAGTAACAAAAAAATAGTAAGTCTATGGGACAAATAATTTATAATTTTAGAATTTTATTTTCATTAATCGCCAATAATATATACGACGTTTTTATGATTTCAGCAAGCGATGTATCGACGTATCCCTTGGGAATAATTAGAAAATGGACGGCTACTCACAGTATTGAAGACAGACATAGTGGTGCAAATATAGGCATCTCGGTGCAAGATATTGTTGTACTTATTTAATATTTCTGGATTTTTAACAGTTCATGCCGGTCCTGGGCGAGATTATGTAACAAACAGCGGCTACACTCGGCTTGGGCAAAATGCTATGCACTGTGGCATCGCCAAAAAATTATCACCAGATATCAAAACCAGTACTAAAAAACCTTAGTTATTATTAGGCTTTCTCCTAACACGAGGAATTCTCTTAGTCGCACCTCTACACTTGACCGAAATATATCTGTTCTCACTCCTTTTTTACTTAGGGACAAAAACTGCGCGCCCGAACCTTGCGAGTTAAATTGATACGATTTTATCTTACATATACAACATATTTACCCTTATATTATATCTAATATTACGGTAATAAAACAAATGTAAGTATATGTATGGGCATTAATAAATCAACTTGTAACGTGAAATTTATTGATACTTTATTTATTAAGTCATTTTAATGTTCCTCGTGTTAAATTGGTTGCCGTTCTTGGTTTGAGTAGACGTACTATCATTTCCAAGAAGAACTCTAGTGGAGTATGATTAAGATCAAGCCTCTACCGCCGTGTGTCGCGAGTGTCCGCGGGACGGCTTTGGTCACAGGGCTCTTGCTTTTCGCGGAAGGCAGAGAGGTTAGGCGTACGATTTGATGACTGGTGGGGAACGCGTTGTGAAAATCGGTGATTTTCTGGATCATCTCATTGTAGGATTAAGATTTTCAACTCGCGTAATATTTAGTTGGAGTGGTTATGTGGAATACAAGAAGTATTTTTGCTTGAAACATCCAACAAATACCTGTGGATATCAGGATAAAGTCTCCCCCTTCACTTCGTTAAAATTAAAACAGTGCCGGGTGATAGTGCTGGTAACTCCACCGAGAAGAAGTACAACCAATTGTTATTCTGCCACTAACAGTGGAAATAGTGAGTCAGGAACCCCTTCACAAGGGTGAGTACTGTGTTATATAGATTTCACATCGATGTTGTTGCTTCAGTGATGTTTGTTTGGATAATTAGTTCAATGTTACTACCTATTTTTGATTATAATTTGTTACTATGGTGCGGCGTTGCCACGTTGATTTCAAAAACATGGTAATTTACAGTAATGTGTTTTTCAATAATTTAGTTAAATAATACGATTATACTACTTATAGTTATGTGTCTAGCTTTGTGTCATAATTTAGTTACTAATTTATAATAATTACTAGGGTTCTTTGGACGGATTCAAGTCAAGTCAAGTCGAACTTTCAAGCGTTGTGGTGAAGATTTTCCACCGCCTTGCCGACTCCACTGGCCCACTGCAAACGAACAAAGGAACCGTTTCTCGCGGAAGTACTCTTTGTGTGGACAATTGGACTGTCGACTACAACAGTGGTACCTACATCAACTATTGGACCCCTCCATCTAGTGGACAACACAGGTGGTGCAGCTAAATCAGAGTCCAGGAAGCTTAGTAGCCGCAAGTTATTTCTTTTTTTTCCTGCTTTCTATATCTATATATATTTATATGCCTATATATATATATTTCTTTTTTTTTTAATGGTTTTATATGCTAGTGTTTAGGTAGTAATTTGGTTATACTTTAAAATATTGGCTGTGTTATTGGCACAGTAGTTATTGCCGTAAGTTTGCTCAATGTGTGAGGTATAAAAAAAATAATAAGAATTTTTCATCTTTCATATTTTATTCTATACGATTTACTGCTATACATTTTTGTATATAGGCGGAAATTAAGGTGCTTATATAATCGGCGTTATTACTACCATCCGTCTATAAATAAAGACGATTAGCGCATGCGCTTGAGCTCGAGCGACGCTTTGATATATGCTTACTCGGATTTATAGTTGGTATTTTCCTGCGTCCATACCGCTTTAACCTTTTTCCCCTAACTTAATTTCTGCTTTAGGAATAATCAGATTAGTTACGCTTGATTTTTTTTT